GGGGGGGGGGTGGCTTTTCCTGTTGCCGCAGCTCCTCCTAAGCACCCGTTTACCCCCACCCCGCCCGCCCGCGTGCGGTTCAACCCAGTGCTCCGTTCTGCCTGCCTGCCTGCCTGCCTGCCTTCGTTTCGGAGCAGCTTCGGCTGATAAAAAGAGGCGAATGGTTATTATTCTCAGCCGAAGCTGCTCCGAATCAACCAGACAGGCAGGCAGGCAGAACAGAGCACTGAATTGAAGCGCGCGCGGGCGGGCGGGGTGGGGGTAAACGGGCGCTTCGGAGGAGCTGCGGCGACAGGAAAAGCCACCCCCCCCCGGCTTCTTTGAAGCAGTTTCTTCCTGGGCTGGTGGAGCAGCGAGAGAGCGACTGAGAGAGGAACGAGGCGGGAGGAAACCGAAGCTGCTGAGCCAGAGAGCAGGACAGGCTTCGGTTGCTTCCTCCCTCCCCTTCTTTCATTTGTGTCCTTGATCCCCGATCCCAGCAGCATTCACCGAAGGCAAAGAAAGCCGCCATTTTTTTAAATTTTTTTTTCTTTGCGGCCTGGTACAGAGTGCTCCACGGACCGGGACCGGTCCGCGGCCCGGTGGTTGAGGACCCCTGGTCTAAGGAATGCATGTTTTATCTAGATAACAAACATGCATACTTTTATGTATGTTATCATCGATTTGCACTGTTCTCCATTTTCTCAAATCAAAGTTCTATAAGTCTGTGGATAATGTGTGGCATACTTGGTTAGGTCTGATGTCTCTTCACCATCTCTTGCAATTTATCCATTGTATTATAAGAGCTGCCTTTAAGATTGAGGAGTCAGTGCTCTGAAGAGGATTGATGCTTTCCCCACCAATCCCATAGGAGTAGCATTTAATGTAGTTTTGCCTTTTCTTCTTCATCATCATTAACCCTGGAGGAAAGAGCAAATCGCCACTATCCCAGTCTTCCCATGAAGCTATTGGTAGATGACGATATTAAAGAAGCTATGTCTGTAAATCCAATGAGCTCATGGGTTTATTTATTAAGTATCTTTCATGTATCTAGCTAGGCTTTTTTTTTTCCCAAACCAACCACATTTATTTCCCTCCCCAATGATAATCCTTTGCCTTCCCAGGTGAGCGCTTATGGATATATCACCGAAGGCTACCAAAAGTATTCAGATCACTATTATGATAAAGAACGGAAGCGTTTAATCTTTTATACCAACCATGACTTCAATCTGGAACGGAATGTATGGAAACAACTTCATGACGCAAATATTATGAAGCTCTATCAACGAACCTGACGGAACCAGATTATGAACTCCCGATTGGAGTGGGTTATTTTGCTATAGCACAGAAACTTTGAAAACAGGGGTGTTATTGGAACATGCTGCTATCTAAGATGCACTAGTAATTTTTTTTCTGAATGGTTCCATAACACTTAAGGTATTTCCAAAAATATCCATTCCATGAACCATTATTATCCATCTAGGACAAAAAGATACAAAAAGATTATGCAATTTAAGAGGATAATTTAATGTAGGAATAATTAAATCCTGAGTATGAGATTACATGAAGGAGAGAGGGAGTGTCACAGACAATTTATGATGTCTGACCACTTTTTTCCAAACGTTCAGACAAAGAGATTTTTGATATTGAGGTTAGAACTAATAAACCTGAATCCAAATAACTACTAAATAGGAGCAGATAACTCTTAGGTGCTACCTAGTGGCTCTTCCGATAATTGGAGCCCCCAATATACTTGCCCTACCTGAAATACTAGTGTTGAATCTTATCTGCATACATGTGAACCTTTTTTTCTTCACCAGTAAAACAAGAATCATGATAGCTTAGTTTTAATGTGAAGCCATTACCTTTTAATGTGAAAATGGACTTGGTTTAACAGTAAAAAAGTTTTTTTTTTTAATATGTAGATTATGAAGAGTGTTCTTTCTTTCTTTGCTCTAGAATCAAGCTAAAAAAATGGTGAAAGCAGATATTTATTTATATATATGAATCAAACTTATTAACCGCTCATCTCCCTCAAAGAGGGCCTCTCATATTTTGCACACGAAAGGGTCTCATTGAATCCCTGGAGTTTTAAGAGACCACGAAAAATCCCCTTATGACTCCCTGTAAAGCTGCTGGTTAACAGAGTAGGCACTACTGAGCAAGTTGACCTAAATTAAGGGACCCTCCTACAGGTATGTTGGAAAGGAGAGAGAAGTAAAATTTATTTCTCTAGAGAGAGGTTTCCCCATCCTTCGCACTCAGTTGCTTGCTCTCAAAGAGCAGAGCCTCAGCTTTTGAGTTCTCAGTAGGGTAGCAAGGAGTTATTGTTCTCCTTCCCACTCTGGAATCCAAATCATGCCACAGTGCTCCAGGTTGCTAAGTGACAACTCTGTCCTGGTATTCTTCAAGCCTGAATAGGACCTTTACAATTCCCAATAAGTTTTGTTTTTCAAACGTTTTTCTCTATAGAGAGGCCTCTTTCTCCTTGTGTTTTTTTTTTTGTTGCAGAGAGGGCATTAATCTTAGTCTCCTTCACAACATGGAAGATGGTGGAAAAGTCCTTTAGAAAGTAATTTACAAATTTTAGAATAAATAAGGATATAGAAACATGAGCAAAGATTATTTGTATAGCCCAGACTATCTCTATATTATTTCATACAATATCACATGAATGGTTTGAGATCAATAATAGTAGTTCTAGTGGAACAGAAATCATGATCTCATAAGATCCAGAAATAGTTAAAATATCAGCTAAATTTTATCTTTATGGTAAAATTGGAAATGGGATCAACTCTGAAATTTTTATATCAGAAACAGTCTGATGATATTAGGACTACTTGGATTTATTTTATAATTACAGGTGTACTGAATTTACCAAGAGGTCATACCCAAACACGTAATTGCATGCCATGTTTACAAATGGCTACAGTGGGTGCAGAGATTTTCAGTCAGGATTTTTTTGCACTTCCTATTGGTTGTTCATCTGTTTCAGTCTAGTGTAAGAGACCCCTGTTCCAGGTATCTGAGATGTACTGCATATACTTACTGGCCTTCAATAATGCACAGATAGAAATGAGTACAGCAGAAATCACTTATTATTGAAGATACATTACTCAGTTTCAGTCCTCCCAGGTTGCCAAGCTCAAGAAACAAGCAGTGGGGATTTTATTGTTGTAGGGTATAATGACAGCATCTTGAAGTCTGACAGAGTTTCTCTCTGCCCCATGAAACAGAATCAAAGTGGGGTTATTTTGAGTTTCTATCTCATGCTTTTTCTTGCTATTAAATTTGTGATTTCTTCTCCATTAATGTTTCATTGCTCTCTTCTCCCTTTCAAGGCCAGGTCTCTTTTTTTTTTACAATCAGCAAAAAAAATATATTCTATTTATATTCTAGGCTAATCTATACAGGTATTACCCACTTATAGGTAGTCTAGCGCATGACAAAGAACATTTGTTCACTTGGGGCTTGACTCAGAGCAGAGAGCATGGGAGCTAAGGAGAACTGCTTTCTAGTTTGAAAAATTTTCTTATATTTGGCATGTTTTCCTCTTAAGGATTCTATGTCCTAAATTTTTGTCAGCATGTTTCAGGAAGCATACACCCATTAAAACTCAAACATGGGCAACAGAACAAACCATAGTTAAACCCAACATGCCATAGCATGATGCATGAATCCAACCACTGCACAGGGAGATGATGAATTCTCATCAGAGTTTGAAGAAAAGGCTGGCCCACTAAGATCCTATACCAGCAGACTGCCTGCACTACTGTATATTTGATCTTCTAGATGATCTTTGATGACCTTTCTGATTCTGGGTATTTTACTAGTGCTTATTATGAAAATGCAGGAAAAACAGGTTTTATAAACAGCAAAGAACACATGACTAAATTGGACAGAGAGGCAGGGAAGGAAGACATTCTGATTCTAAAGACGGACATTTCCACTGGACAGCAGAGCTAAGCTCAACAAAGAAACCAAAAAGGTTGCTATAATTTGCTTTTATCATTTAAAGTCAAAACTCTTAATGCTACTAATAATAATAGATGTGATTATATAATGGCAATATGGCAAGTAGATGACAATAATGAAAAATATACCTCTCCAGATGTTACTTGAAAAGTTGTTTTTAGTTGGGATGACCAAAGATAATTGGTGCCATTAATTGTTATACACCAGCACACTGGAGCATCAAAGATTCCCCATCCTTGAAAGGTGGAGAAATCTGAAAAATAGGGCATAATTTTCTGAAATACTCAAATAGGTATTTTTGAATTTGAACATTGAAGGTACAAATAAGCATTATTCAGTGGCCAGTTCCCCATCTGAACCACACATGCCTATTATTCTGTTCTTTCTACAAGTCCACATTTCCACAAGTCTCTTGCTAGTAGTTTAAAACTACTGAATGTAGTTTGGATTTCCTTTGGAATTCATAAATGGATCAAGATATTATATGAGTCGCCTACATCTTAAGTGAAGGTTAATGGTATGTTTTCTCCTATGTTCTCACTATTTAGAGGAAATAGACAAGGATGTCCACTTTTATGCATTCCAAAGAAAATCCAAACTTGTCTAATATGGTAAACATGTATTGTTTATATATTTTGTCAAAGGCTTTTTCAGCAACTAATGATAAAATTACAAGTTGTTCTTTACCTTTATTCAAATCTCTTATGACTATAATTAACCTCATGTTGTCTGCTGCTTGCTGAATTTTTATAAACACTGCCTGATCAACAACAAACAATATCACTTGTTATATTTGCTAATACTGCTGTTAATATTTTTGTATCAACATTAATCAATAAGATTGGATGATAATTAGCACTTGAAGTGTGATCTTTACCTGAGTGTGATCTTTGGTATAACTGTAATATAAGCCTGGTTAAATGCTGCTGATAAAATTCCCTTATCAAATATCTCATCATACAATTAACTAAGTTTTGGCATCAAAAGATCTATAAATGTTTTATACCACTGAATAGGGAATGCATCCAATCCTGGTATTTTACCACTTCCCATGATTAAAATTATTTGTTTACTCTCTACCTCAGAGAGAGGTACAAATAAAAGTTGTTTTTGTGCATCAATTAAGTGAGGTAAATTAACTTATTTAAAAAAGATCTTTATATATTTTTATTCAATGTATTCTCTTTTTTGCTATATAATTCTAAATAAAAATGGTCAATTTATATGCAGTGAAGTTTTACGGTATATATTTAATCTCTAATAAGTGGAATCAGTGCCCTATTTTTTGTTTTTTAAATTTATTTTTGCTTTAAGTGATTAGCCATAATTTTACCAGGTCTTTCACTCTTCTCCCAATATCTTTGTCATAAATATATCCACATAAATTCGGTCTGTGTGATATTATAGTATGTTTTGCAATGTCCTATACTTACTAAGTTTTGGCAGAAAAAAATGGATTATATGAATATGGTTGTGTAACAAGAGCTAAAACTTTCAGAGGATAACATTCTCCTGAAATTATATATCTAGTATTGACAACCAGACAATGTTAATGGATTCTATGCCCTTACTATGGCCAAGACTGATACTGCAGCATTGCAAAGATAAATGTATTGCTCCATTCATTCAATGGAGTCAAGACCTGGTTGCATTTGCCACCATGAGCAGATTGCCTATAGACATAAAACTTTGTATGGAAAAGTAAAATGAAATATGGAACTTATTTATACAAAATACAGATAGTTAAAAAAGAATTGTATAGGTATACTATAAATATATACATACATGAATAATATTTGCATTGGATAAGTATATATAGCATTGTAACTGTTTACTGTTATAATATATCATACCATTTTTTCCCTTTATTTTAATTCTTCACTTTTTTGTTAAAACAGCGTCTATGTATTTCTTTTTCTTTGAAGTGTATCACAGTTACCTGTGTGTTCCTTTCTTTTGTTATTTTAAAAGCAATAAATAAAAAAAAAAATCTGAAACTTACATGTTTTAAACTCACCAAGTTTGCTATTTTAATCTTACCAAATCTGAAGATATTATTTTATTTTATTATTTGGAGGATTTGTATTGCCACTCAATTCACACGACAGAATTCTGTATTCTTCTTTACAAAATTATTTTGATTAATTTCTCCTAAATAATTTGGTGTTGTCGCTATTCCTGATTATCTGTCATCCCTAACAAAATTGGTTTCAGTGCTAATTTCATGCCACTGTTTGCATTTCTTTGTGAGGGCCCATTTTCTGTTTCCAGTTCATGAAAAAGTCACTAGTCCATATGAGGGCTTCTTCATTCTTCCCAAGGCTTTTTCAGGGTGACTTTAGTGCAGAATTTCACCAAAAGGCTATTGAAAATAGAAGGAATCATCCGCAAGTACAGTTGTGCACACATGTTGGTTCATTCTCTCTCAAGAACTTTAAATGGTGACTGAGGCAGAGGTTTCCTTTACAGTAAAAGTATGGCTTTTATTTTGGTAAGATTGCTCATCTCTCTGAGGGGTTATTTTCTCTTTAATAACGTTTTGACCAATTTATAGTAATTTCTATACTATTTATTAATTTATGAGCTAATTAGCCTTTAAAACCTTTCTAAAAATTCTGCTGTAACTAATCAAATGAGGGACAGTTTTGCAAAACATAAAAATAAAAAATAAAAATCAGATGAGATGTTTAAGCTAAATTCTTGGATAGCTTCTGAACTAGAAACTTTAGGTCAGTTAAGTTTTCCTGGAATTGATATTTTTACCTGACGAACTGATGATAGGAATGAAGAAAAGTTTTTTATTTATTTGGGAATGAATAAAGCCACTTATCTTAAGCAAATAATTCTGGATGGCTAACAATATAAGCTAATACAAAGCAATAAAGTATGGTACAATAAAGTACCTTATGATTCTTGACTCTTGACGAATGCATCTTTTCTTTTATGTACACTGAGAGCATATGCACCAAGACAAATTCCTTCTGTGTCCAATCACACTTGGCAAATAAAGAATTCTATTCTATTCTATTCTATTCTATAAAAATACAATTAAAAACCACCATAATGCATACAAAATACACCAGATTGTTACTTGAATTGCCCACTTAAATTTTTTCCTCTTTTTCTATGTTAGCTACTAAAATAAGCAGCCCTAGAACAAAATATTAACTTCGGTAGAGATTTATAGAATTATCTCTTGAGACACCAAGAAATTATTTATTCAATTTTAATTGTTGCTCTGCAGAGAAATGTTTCACTATCTGGACCTTAAACTGGATTCTCTTACTGTGGTAAGCAGTTACACTGTTTATAAAGTTTGGTTTTCTTGTATTGTGTAAACTCAACTATTATTTAATATTAGATTTATATCCTACTTTTGTTTTATGTAACTGAAGGCTGAAAGCCCATCTTCTATTTTGCCCATAGCAACAAACAAAAGTCTTCCAGCTGACTTTTATGCCTAAGGGAAGACTTGAACTCACTGGTTTCTAGTCTAGGCCTGAGCCACTGCAACCAAATAAATGTGACAAATTCTTTTCTCATTTCAACGTTATGCAAGACCAACCATGGCTTATTCGATAAATGTAACTCAACAATATATGAACTGAGAAAGAATCAGGAATGGAACAGAACTCAAATCAAATGGAGCTAAATCCAGCCAGGTAGCAGACTTCTTGCTAATGTTGACATTTTCATCAATTAGGCTGTATAAACTTTGCAAAGAGAGATCTAAAAGGCTTATAAAGATATGAAGGTTTAGCTGGGCTCAGAATCTTAAAAAGATAAAATCATCTGGTTAAATAAGTTTTGAATTTGAATTCTCTCAGCCTAGTCTACTTCATAGAGTTGTTATAAGGATAACATTAAGGGAGAGCCACGTCAGAACTACTGTCAGAGGTGTAAGCAACCAGAACAGTTTCCGTAATGGATCAGGTAGGTTTATTTATTGTTGATTGCCAGTTTATAAAAATCTGGCCAGATTGTCCGTCTTCCTTAGGGGAAGCCTGATATAAACATGTTTCCTCCCCTGCATGGCCTTTAAGCTGGAATACCTTTTAACCCTAGATATCTTTTAATATCTTTTAACATTGGGGCTTCCTCTCCTTCCTTCATGGTTCCATCAAAACTACCTTGAAGTTCATGAAAAAGAGCAGAATATGCCCAGTAAAATCATAAATTAAAAAAAAACCAAATGTTATATTCAAGCAGCTTTATTTGCTATATTTATACCCAGCTCTAGAAAGTATAGGATATTCCAGAAAATATCAAAGCTAAATATGGGGGCACCCTATTTTCAGACCTATAGTGCCTGTGGCCTGCCCCATATGAAAATACCCCTCATTCTACTCTCTCATAGTCTTTTTAATCAGTATTTTCCTTAATTTTGTATGTTCTAGCTATAGCTAGCTCTAGAGTTGCTTATTTCCCTCAAATTGCAGAACACTATTTTGTCATTAACTTTTTGACAAATGTACTGAGACTGCTTTTTATATTCTGACTCCATGCTTTACTGTAGTTGAGAACATCAGCAATTCTTACCATCAAATAGAAGGCAAAGCACTCAGTTTTTCCTCAGGATGAATTGAAGGGTGGATTTGATCTTTAGAGCACTGGTAGCTTCCCTCCCCATAATACAGAGCTGTCAAACTCCCCGCCCACAGGCTGGATGCCTCAAGCACTGCCCAATTTAGCAAAGGGGAAAGAGGTCTGGATATATCACATGCTGCCGTGATGTGAGTTTGATATCCCTGCAATAATATATAGGAAATACCTTACCTGTACACATACACACACACACTTTATCTTCCCCTAATTTTTGGAAGGTGCAAATGTATTTAAAAGCAAGGAAACAAAACAACTCTATAATGATATCAATTCTATTATTAGAACCACCCAGAGTTGTTGGGAGTCAAGCGGCATAAAAGTTTAATAAATTATGATTATTATACTACTGGAATAGTTCTAAATGCAAGACTGGTAGAACTAAAATAAGAATGATCATCTGGAGTGCTATGCCATCAGCAATCTGATTTCTGATTGAGGATAGAACACAGGCGCTCAGCTCCAGTTTGATTCTACCCCTTAGGCAATATTAAGGACACCTCCATACTACATCCTTGGCACAGGTTCGGAATCAACTCTATCCCTGTGCAATTACACAGCAATTTTTAAAAGGTGGGGAATCTACTGAAGTTTATTTGAAACAGTTCATTTGGTGTTTTCTTTGTTAATGTGCTGGCTCTGCTGATTTTCTGTAATTTATAGTATTATCACCTAATGATCTGCCAAACACATGCAGAATCTCAGGTCTCCAGAAACGTGTTTTGCACATCTCTCATTTTCCTAATTGGTGGGAACTGTTGGCTTCATGCTGCCTCTTGATCCTTGGATTTTAATCATTTATTATTTATTGATTATATTTACACCTGTGATAGAATGTAGTGAAGATTTGGATCCCCAGGAGAGAAGAGGTGCATTCCAGAGAAGTAATAAAATACTGTAACCCAGTCCATATATTATGTATAAGAGTTAAGATAACAGCCCCTCTTTTAATAGTTCATTTAATATTGTAGATTCAGTCTTTAATCTGAGACAATTTTGTCTATAGGTGTCAACAATAAAGCACTCAGCTTGGAAGAATTGCCACATTTCATTCTTGCTTTTGGATCTGACAACACCTCCTTCCACTGAGATTCACCTCCCTGGCCTGCTGTTTATAAGATATTCTTCCTCTCTCCAAACTCAGAAATGACGACAATAGCTGTAGCAGTAGAGGATGCACCCATTCGCAAAATGGTTACCATGCCATCATTTCCTTGCAGACTGTAAACAGTTTATAAATGCAGAAGGAAATAAAAGTTGTGAACCCAGTTTCCACTCAAACCAACTTGAGATAGCAATTTGGTTTTTGCAACCTACCAAATACACCCATGAAATAAAAACGGGGTTGGAAAAAAGGGACATGAGCAAGGGTGGTTTTTTGTTTTTTTTCTCCTTTTCTTTCTTTCTCCAAAACAGGTGACAACTCCAACTGGAGCAAATTGAATGATGTTCTTTGCACTCTTATTGGTCAGCTGCATATGGTACTGATTGGTTCATAGGGTGTTTTAAGCATGTTGAGGTTGGCAGAAAATCTCTCAATTTGCTCGTTCGACGTTAGGCCTTCCCTATGCGACCACCGTTCGCTTGTCGGTTTCTAATGACTGCTCGTTTGGCCAAGCCAAGCCGGCATTGAAGTATCGGATCATTTATTAAATGACTGCCACGAAGCACACTGTCAAAGAAGTTCCTCCACTGTCTCCCCCCACCCCATCTCACTTTTATGCACTGTAGAATAGGAGTTGGCAGAATTCACGCCGCAGCTTTTCCTTTCCGGATGTACCCTGGTCTTGCGTTTTGCACCGATCCGTGCAAAGTGTGGGTAAATAGGTGACTCTAGAAAAACCGCCCGGTATATCTCCGTGAAGTATTTTATTGTGTGATACTTCTTTTCAAGGTCGACGTGAAAGAAGAGAAGGGGCTTCGAAGGGAACCAGCTCCCAGGAGCGTCACCCCCTCTCCACCATTGCAAGCGAGTCCGAACCAGTTAGTCAGGCGCGGCGTTTCTCCCACCTCCGCCCCCCATTTTCTCGCTCTCTTAGCTAACCGGATGAAGGTACATCAAGCAGCGAGCAACAGATGGAAAGACTAGGCGAGTCCGAAGTCTTTATTGCGGGGCGACAAGGCACAACACCCGGGCTCCGGAGGAAGAGCTTTCTCGGCTGAGCTCCGTAACTTTTCCAAAGAGCGAAGAGGAGGAGGAGAAGGAGGGAGGAGGAGATAAAGCCTCCGCTGTTTAAAGCTTGCGGGGGGGGGGGCGTCGCTGGACGGTGGAGGTGACTTGATTTCTTCCCTACTCAGAGTTAGGGTGCTCCAGCCTAGCTAGTTAGACGAGTCCCCGCGGCGCAGGCGGCGCGTTTCCCCTCAGCGCGTCCTCCTTTTCCTGAATGGGGTCTCCCCGGAGGAAAAGGCTCTGCCTTTTGTTCCTGATAGGATTAGGATTCTCTGTCATTTTCCTCGGACATTACTACACCGCGGATTCGCCCCTCTGCGCCGGGACTGAAGCCAGGTAAGACGACTTGGAAGAGGCTCAAAAGGGAATCTTTCAAAATCAAAGCCGGGGGGGGGTGGGACGGGACCCAAAACCTTTTAATGCTGTTGGTGGTTGGGAATAGAGATTTGCTCGGAAGCCAAGGGCAGCCACCCTGGTGCTGGATAAGAGGAGTGACGGTGGGAAAACAAGGTGTAATTCTTTTTTTTCCTTTTCCTTTTTTTGTGAAAACCAACAAATGCACAAGCTTACCATTGAAGTAGGACTTTGCAATCCTGTGGAAGAACAAAGTGCTCAAAGCAGCCAGGAAGGTGGTGGAGCTACTACTTAGTGTTCTTCACCAGCCTCCCAAGGAAGATGTTAAAAGTTTCAAAGTAGTCAGAGCCATAATTCAGAGGACCTCTTTCGTGTTTTTCTTTTAAGCTGAAGGGTTTGAGTACATTGTAAGTTGCTAATCGGCTTTCCCCTAACTCTGCGTCCTGCACACTTGTGTGGACTACACAGCTCCCAGAATGCCCATCCACCATGGCTAATAGCCCATGGTGGCTAGCAATTGTAATCACAACTGTATCTAGGAGCAGCAGGTAAAAGAAAGCTGTGGTAAGGGTTAGAATTGTGTTACTTCATATTTGTGGTCTAGCTCTGAGCGAGCAGTACATTCCATGGTTTCTTTGCTTGTGATCAAGAATCCATGTAGGAGGTAGAGAAGTTGCAAATGGACTTAATGCTAAAAAATCTTCACCTCGGTATTGGAAAAAAGATGCAGAAATTTAATAGGATGTGACTTATGTTTTAAAGGAGAAATCACACAGTGTATTATTGATTACTTAAGACATATACTTTTTGGGGGAGGGTACCTATTTTATAAACCAGGGAGAGTTTAAACATTCAGTTCAGTGCTTCCCAAACCTTACCCCAAATTGGGTAAAAATAGGTATGTTCTTTTGGATAATAACACACAAAACCCATTAACCAATCACAACAGGGATAAATGTTTAAATGGCCTTAAAGTGTTTTGCCTACATTGGGTAAAAAGGATTTTCTGATAAGCAGTTTCCGCTAATGAAAAAATATATGGGAAGGTCCCCTTTCCTCTAAGATTCTTGCATTGTGTA